TGCAGGGGCGGTGAGAGGCTTCACCAGAGACAGAGTGGGGAGCAGAACAGGCAGATCGATGAAGTCCACTGCTGAGGGGGAGCAGTGGGCGGGTCAGGAGAGGTCTGCCGCGCCATGTGGTCTCCGGGGCAGGCGGGAATCGAACTCATAGGGAAGCGGCTTTAACCCGCTGCGCCACCAGGGAGGGCCCTGTAGTGACTTTTAATGGAAACTGCTAATGATTGAACTATTTCACTTCCCTCAATTCATTCAATATTATGGCAAATTAATTCATTGCTTAGGGCTTATGTAATATTATGCCTTGACAATATAAAGAATTTAACATGTTTACTGAATTGAATTGGAAAATTGTTTGTTTGGATATTTAGTATGAACCAGACTGGTATTTAATTTGATTCTAAGAAGGTTTTGAAAATTTGGGACAAATGAGATAACAGAGTTAATCAATGAAAATGATTTAGACTGGAATTCCTATTTTGGTTAGTTTCTGATAATCCTCTTCTAAAGAACTCTGTGTGTGTGATAGAGGAACTTTATACCTATTTAGTACACTAGAGGATAAAAGCTACTGAAAAACAGTTTGTCTTCTGAAGTCTCATAAACCTGTGCCAAATCTTAGTTTTTTTCTAACTGTGTGACCTGAGTAACTTTCTGAGTCTCATTTTCAGCTACCTGTACAATGAGGTAAGCACTTCACAAGTTTTCTTGTAGTTTTATGGAGAAGGGAGCAAAGCTCCAACTTCTTGGTAAGGTTTGCTTCAGGTTTATTGCTGGCATTGAATTTAATTAATGTGTAAATCACAGATTATGAAGGGATTTTGAAAGTAGAGTAAAATCTGATAAACCTATGGATTGGGATACAATCTGAGAATTTTTATGTAATTTAAAGCAAATTTATTCAACAGGTCATGTATTATATATTATATGGCTCCTCTTTTGTGTGCTATTCCAAAGTTTCAAATTGGAAGGCAATATCTCTATTTAATGAGTAATACAGCAAGGTTTGCAAAGGATAGTGTAGAATAAGATTGAGCAACTTAACTGCAATTGAAAATCTCCTCTTAATATGAAGATTGAAAAGTAGAAATTGTTCAAAGAGGTTACATTTAATCTAGTTGATACACTTTGACAATTTGCTATCTCCTTTAGATAACTGTATTGCCAATGCTGCTTGCAATTTCTAAGTCATAGCATTAGATGTTCTGCACAGACACAAAAGCCAAATTCTTTCTGTTGAGCTGCTGGAAAAACCTTGTTTTCATTTTGGTATAATATTTAGCAAGATTAGAGTCTTTGTACCTAGTGTCCAATTTATTCTAGTATCTTAAGTGAACTTCCAACAAAGTGATTGCATTTGTTTTATTAACATGAGATTTCAGTTTTAGATGTGCATTTAAATCCAAATGATTCAAATTCAGGATCTTATTGTGAACCATGGTCAATGTAAATAGTGAATTTTGTTTCTACTGACTGATAGAAGAAATAGTAGGATTTCCAACTTTAGAAATAGCTAGTATTTCCTAGCTGGTAGAGTAAACTGTGGGTTGCTGACTTAACAGATTTTAAAGCCCACATGCTTCTGGGGCTTACAGATGGGGAAAAGTTAGAATTAGCTTTTGCAAGATTGTGGCTTCACATTGCCAACAATGATCGGTTGGCTCAGAGAATTTTCCAGCAAAGAATGAGGCATATCATTTCTTTCACGTCTGTTGAAAAGTTACTATATGGAGGTCTTTCTAATTAGAGCAAAAGCAACTAGTTTTGGTTTTCCATTTTTTATAATAAGTCACTATCAAAATGCAAATTATTCACAAAGGTTTCCAGATAGTTTTTGAACAATGTAGCCACTCCTCCCACTTCACCCCCAGTGATATGGATGGGCTTGGGACACCTAGTACAAAATGTCCATTGTAGAGATTAGAATGATGGCAGGCAGTTCCAAACTTAAGTTATTTGGCATTTCTACTCATTATGCATGTGGACTGAGCACTTATTATGTTCCAAGAGTTCCAGCAATGAACAAGGTAGAGAAGGGCTTTGAGCTCATAGAGTTTACATGCTGGGGGATGTTGATTGTCAAGGTGAAACCTAGTGGTCTTGACCCTCAGCATTAACTCTCGCTGGTAGTCTTACATGGAAGCAACCCTTTTTTCTTCAGAAACCAGAGATGAGTTTGATGAATTGACCTGACAGTGCATGGCACATCAGATTTACTTGGGAGGATTTAATAACCCCAGAGACTCCCAAAGGAAACATGAACATTTCCACATACTCCAACCCCAAGGATCACAATAATAGAATGTGCAAGCAAAGATAGAAGGTTCTCACAGGCAGAGAGCATTTCTGTTCGGTCCTTAAATACTATTGACTTTTTCACCTGAATTCACATTGCACAGAAATGTCAGGGCAACAGGAACTATGGGCATGGAAGGAAAACATTTTATGGAAATGTCTTCTTTGGGGAGTAAGTGAGTTGTTTCTTGGACAGTACATTATTTATAATTAAGAAAATATATGGGAGTAACTTTTTGATACATGTGGAAAGAACTATTTCATATATTTGGGAATTTTGAGAGGGAAAAGAAGAATTACTCTAGACTATTGTAGTGGGTGGTTCTCAAAGTGTCATCTGAGGTCAGAAAAAATCAGCAACAATCACTGGGGAGTGTGTTAGAAGTGCACTTGTCAAAGTCCATCCAGTTTTAGGAAATCAGAAAAATCAAAAGTCTAAGAAGAGGGGACAGCTATCTGTGCTTTATTAAGCTTTTTTGATGCTCTGAAAGTTTGAGGACCACTGCTTTCTCACTGTGTACAACTCTCTGCTAATTTAATTGAGCGCATGTTTGTCAAATGAATAGACACATAATGCAATGCAAGATATTTCTCCCATAGCTAAAGAAATTCCATTTTTCTTTTTAAGTGTATACTAAAACATCCTAAAATATTCTTATATTAGATTAGACCATTTTATATTAAATTAGATAACATAATTGAATAGCCAAGCATAATGGCTCACATACAGTAGATGCATTATATATCACAGCTCTCTCCTGTGCACAAGTATTTGTTTTCTTTAATTTGTCATATATATTATTAATTCACTCAATTTCATAGTGTTCAATGAAAATAAATCGTAAAAGTATTAAAATATTAAGAAAGTGAAAAATCATACTTACTGGGTTATTTTGGGTGTGCACCTTTGGGGACAGTTGTTAACTTATACTGAACTAGAGTGAAACTGTAGATTCCTGCATGGCAGGGTTGGCGTGTGAGAGGGAACGTGCGGGCACTCTGCATTTAACATCGCTTCTAGTGCCACCTGCATTTCCCTGGTCCTACCAGCCTCAGGGTGCAAAGGAGTTACCTTAACATTGACATTAATAATTTACAATTTTCTGCCTTTCCTTCCTCATTTGTGGGCAACACACCTCTGCTACTTCCCCAGAGGATTCCTTAGCTCTTTGGGAAAATGTTCTGAGCACTCCTGCTTGTGCTCAGGAGCAAGTTGCTCAGACACTGGCCCCACTCTCCGAACCAGCGGCCTGACAGCCCTGGTGCCCCTCAAATCTTAGAGCCTCAGCAAGCCAGCACATGCTCTGCTACTGTCATGACTCACAGGACCAGGCTGTATGAATAACGCAGCTCTTGTCCAAATGCCAGACCTCTTCCTCTTCCTCAGGTGCCTGCTCACCACATGTGGAAGGTCTCTTCCCTAATGCATGTTAATACAGGCAAATTTCAGCTTTGGTGGGGAGGAGGCTGCCCCAGGACCGGCTCCTGGCCGAGTGGCCTGTTGGTCACCGGCGCCCCATGCAGAGGGGTCCTGAGCTTGGTTTTAATTTCTGTTGCCACTACCTTGAGATACATAATATTTTTGTGTTTGTTTCTTAAAGAATTATCTGTTTATGCAACAAGAGCTGGGGTGCAGGCCAGAGGTGTGTGGGGGGGGATGAGAGGATTCACTAGAGATAGAGTTGGGAGCAGAACAGGTGCATCGACTGAAATATACTGCTGAAGGACACAACAGGTTAGACAGGAGAGGTCTGCTGTGCCATGTGGGTCAGCTCCCTGGTGAGGGGTGGAACTTGCATTGCAGTAGCTGCTATTAGCTTCATAGTGCTGAGACTTTACCCCTGTGTCCCCAGAGAGGCCTGAGATACATAAGTTTTGAACACCTGATAGTTACCTTTTCAGTTTGCACTGAGTTCCTCAAAATAGCAATCACTTGGCAGAGATCAGACTTTGAAGTTCAGTTTAGGTACCCTTTACTAGAGTATGCCTAAATCTTCTTGAGAATGTTCTGGAGAGCTGCTTCACCAGCATCTAAACTCTCCTTAAAGCATTTCCCTTTTAGTGATGAGCTTAGCATAGTATCTACACATGTTGATTAGTAATGATACATGCCTGAAACTTAGATAATGCTGTAGTTCAATGTTACTTCAGTACAAAATTTTAAAAAGCATTCCCCAATATCTGGAAATGAGATACTAAATTTAGACATGTTATTGCTTAATAGGATTAGTAGCATATAGAAGTTTACAAGAATCCTGCCAATAGTTTTCATATACTAAGTCAAATTTGCAATATAGTTTTTGAAACGACCACATTTGTTAACAGATTTCCTGTTGTTAACGTTGGTGAAAATATAACAGAAACCAGGTTAACTGGGATTCATTCATTAGATATCACTGGTGTATCCATTAAATGCCAAGGATGAGGACCATACAAATGACATAAAACCTGTCCCTGTTTCTGAACAGCTTAGTATAAATAAGCCTAGAATGACAGATACAGCGAGCAATTATTTCTGCCTGAGGGTTGTGGGTGGCTTGGAGACGGGAAGGGAAAGAAATTAAATAGCAGCTAATGTCACCCTGCACAGAGGGACTTGGTGTCTATGGGAAGACATTGGAATTACTGGAAATAGGAATTTGAATCTATGACTTCATCAAACTCACCCTTTCATTTCCATTTCACTGCGATTTCTCCTGTGCCTTTAGCCTCAGCACCCCAATCAGATGAAGGCTCCGACATCGACTCTGAACCCGACTTGCCCCTGAAGCGGAAGCAGCGCAGAAGCAGAACGACCTTCACAGCAGAACAACTGGAAGAGCTGGAGCGAGCTTTTGAGAGGACCCATTACCCTGACATTTACACCCGGGAGGAGCTGGCACAGCGGGCGAAGCTCACCGAGGCCCGAGTGCAGGTACCAAGGCCTAGGCGTCCACATCCAGCTTAAATCCAGACAGGAGACCAGAAAGCAGCTTCTCACCCAAAGCACATTTAACCCAAGAACGTAACCCTGTTAGGAGGGGCACCTGGCCATGAATTCGCCCCTGGCCTTACGAACATCTTTCCGGGACCTTTTCGTTGTGCTTGGCCTCGGCTCAACAGCGTCATGTGATTGCTTCCACTTAAATTTCCCTTTGCGTTTGTATTGTTGTTCAACGCCTCTGCCCCCCTCCCCACGAAATCTCTTTTGTTCTGGGCACGCCTGTGGCTTTTAGGTGTATGTTACTTCCCTAGCCAAGTTTTCTCTTGGTAGTAGGCTGGAAAGTCCAATTAAATTTATTGATGGGGGATGTATTTCATTTTTTTTTCTTTCACGATGATCGAAGTATTTAATATGGGTGAATTTAAAAATGTCATTTAGCTAATTTCCCCTCTTTGTATTCCTACTATTTTGATATTTATGAAAATGTACCTTACTGTAGTCTTCAGTTATCATTACTGGGAGAATATAGTTCTCCCAGAGATAACACAGTACAGTGTCCATTCATTCATTCAGCATTCCAGCCATTCTTACTCTACCCTGCACTACATGGATCTGTGTGGATCCACAGATAATAGAAAAGAAAATTTGAGTGCTTCCTTTGTGCCAGGGACTTTATTAAGGGCTTTTCATGAATTAAAACATCTGCTCAGCATTAAAACCCTAGGCTAGTATTATTGTTATTCCCAATGTAGAGATAAGGAGACTGAGACCCAAACTATTTGTCACTGCAGAAAGTCACTTAGCCAGGCAGTGATAGGGGTGGCTTCTAGAGAGAAAGGTCATAGACTTCTGTGGCTTCATAGTAATGAAGATGTGCAAAGGTGTACACTGCAAATTTCTTACGTTAATAAGTCTGGAGTCACTTCAACAAACTATTTTATAACAAAAACCATTTGAATTATCTCTGGAACTCAGAGATTCTCTGAACCCTCGCTGAGTGGCTATTTTGGTATAATATGTTTCTGTTGAGTGACAGTAAATTCTTTTGCCATAAATGATGAGCTTTTCCCTCTAGGCAGTAAAGCACTTTTGAAAGAATATGAATGCCGTCGGATCCCCTGGACCTCTTTACTGCTGCTGCACTTGGGTGACTTATCTGGAAATGCTGTTTTATTCCCAGATTCTTGACTTTCATAGTTAAGTAAAGCTGGCGACTGCAGTGGGCTCGGCAGTCGATATGGTCTCCAGATTGATTAACGAGCTTTCTTTGCTGCAGCTAATTACTTCTCCGATTACAGAATTTTACAGAAACAGTCTCTTCCAGGCTACAGAGGCTAGTCCGAGAAATTGTTTTATTCCACTTGACTTTCCATATGATCTCAGAGTGCTGGGAAAGTGAAGGAATGCTAAGATGAATTAAGACCAGTTGATTGAGGAACTGCAAGTATAAATGGTTAGTAAAGGAGACACATAAATCATTACAAAAACAAAGTAGGTGTGTTAAGTGCCATCAGAAAAGAAAAGGGTAAGGGAAGGTGGTGGGGGAGGGGAGAGAGGGCGAGGGAGAGAGACAGGAGTTTAGCAGAGAAAAGGATGAGATCTTGATGGAGTAAACAAGAGAGGCTCACGAAGAGGGCAGATTTAAGATGATCTTGGAGACTAAATAGTCACTGGATGAGGGGTGGGCAGAGCACAGAAATAACAGGAGCAAAGCCTGAGAATTCAGTGCACATGAGTCACAGATCAGGTGACCTTAGACTTCCCTCAAGTCACATTGAGGAAACAGTGACGCTCAGTGTTGGTGGAGGGTAAGAGTGGTGGGGTGACTGGAAGGAATGGCTGGAAATCCGGGCTCTGAAACCCCGTGGAGGACCTGGGTTTCAGGCGGGGAGTGCCACTGGGGCTGACAGACAGTGGAGGTTGTGAGTATGAAATAGGTCACTGGCAAGGGGATGGGGAGGAAGGGCTGGTGCCAAAGCTGATTCAGAGACAGAATGGAGGCAACTGATTGTGTCAGCTGGAGCTGGGTGGAATGTGGAGTCCCAGGTGGGAGGCTGAGAGCAGGTGCTTTATTCTTGGCACCATGGACTCTCGCTCTGTATTAGGTCAGGTTGCAGCGTTCTCCAGCACTCACTACCACGAACTGCTTTTATGATAGTGTCTACCTTCTACATAAATACTCTATCAGTCTACAATGATACAGAGTTCACATATGGACCCACTGCACAGTATACGACATTGTAAATCACTACACTATCATATTAGAGCTCAACATTGCTAATGGAACGTGTATTAAATCTGTTTTGCTTTTGCGATAGTTCTGTGATCACCTGGTTGAAATACAAAGTTAAGTCCCATTCTTTCAGCAGACCTTTGGAAGTGCTAGCTTCATTCCAGAATTTGCAGCCTTTGTCCCTTGGCCCACCTACTGGCCTCTTCTTAAGACTGATCAACTTGGAGGCAGAGTCAAAAAATAAATGCTTACTTCAGAGAAATCACAAGAGTGAGGGGAGCTGGAATGCGTGCACTATAGCAATATCTCATTCTTGCCTTTGCTAAAAAAGAGGTTGGGAGACAGAATCCCTGTCCACAAGCCTGTGCTGTTCGAGCAGTGCCCAGCGTTCACATCTGGCGCGATGCATGTCAAAGGAGACTAGGGATGGCCCATTAACTTCCCGAGGACATAAGATCAATCCCATAAAGACTGGTTCATATTTTTCTATATAGTGACCTCCTCCCTCAAGCAGGGCCCTCATTAACCTCACAGCTGTCCTAATGTGGCTTTAACCCGGTGACTCTTTACATTCCTTATGGCTTCATTAGTTCCCATGAGACGCATCTTGTCTTGCACCATAGCTATGATCTACAGCCTAACAAATTCCCTACAACACCCGGCATATGGATCTTTTACTTAACTCAGCAGGAAAAAGAAGAGAGTAGTTAATCACTGATTAAAATGCCAGAACAAAATCCTTTAGTTTTTAGAAGGATCTGGGAAAGCAGTAGCAAAGTCAACTCAGTTTGAGTGATAGCCAGAAAGTGTGAGTTAGTTTAATTTGGGGCACCTGGGAAAACCAAACACCAAACCAACCCTCCCTTCTCCTCCCCTGCCCCCACATGTCTACATCCATTTTTTTTTCCTGAGGAAAACATATTTCTAAATTCTTTGGGAGAGATGAAACTAAAGCTCTAATAGTTTAGGTCTTTGTCAGTATTTCATCAAAATTTGTTTGGACTGTAGGAATGTTGTGCTTGTCATAGACACATCTGGGTATACAATCAACACTTTTTGGCCCCCAAAACTTATTTGGTTCATTTTCCTCCTAGGTTGGCATTACTATCAAATAATGGCAAGTGATAAAAGTTTTGTGGGGAAGGATGACTTGCAAATATTAACGATGTAATAAACTTTTTATAAGTCTTGCACCTCAGAACTCCACGAAGTAGGCAAATAGCCTCTTCCACCAGCAACCACCAGAGATCAGAAAGGAGGCTGACTTCTGGCCAGGTGTCAGAAGACAGGGTTTGAGCTTAGGCTTGCCCAAAGTGTTTTGTTGAGCAAGTCAGTGATTCTGCTGCAGTACTGCTGGGTTTCAGGTGTTGTTCGTTTCATTTTTAATTTAAAATATGGGGTGAGCGAGGTCAGATGATTGAGGTCTGGGGCCGTGGATGGCCAGAATTATTGTGAATGGAGTTCTGGGAGACTTGACCACAGAATTCTGTGCTCTGTGTGTGTGTGTGTGTGTGTGTGTGTGAGTGAGTGTGTATACACAAGTATTTACTAGGGAGAAGGCTTTCATTATATTTTTCAAATGCCAGCTCCTTCTATCCTGTCCCCCAAGTAAGCAGTACTAGGAGTCGTGATCTCACAGACCCCTTAGCACCAGTAATTTGGATTTCTCTGGAAAGCCCAGGAGTAATTTATTTATTTAAGATTGTTTATGCACACAAGAGCTGGGGTGCAGGCCGGAGGTAGGGGGAGCAGGGGTGAGAGGATTCATCAGAGGTAGAGTGGGGAGCAGAACAGACAGATCTACTGAGATACACTGCTGAGGGGAACAATGGGCAAGACAGGCAAGGTCTGTGGTGCCATGTGGTTCACCTCCCTGCCTGGGATCGAACTCGTGCTGCAGTGGCTATGGCTTAACCCATTTCGCCATCAGGGAGCCCCCCCCACCCCAAGAGCAATTTAAAATCATTTATCACATCTATGCAGGTCAGAAGTTAGGGAGGTAGGGGATATTTGACCTTGTATCCCATAGTGAAGCAAAAATAGCTTATCCAGCAATTCTCTGCAGGCACAGATTCTGACGGTGTGTGAGGCTGTGGTTGAGTATGTTGAGTGACCACGCTCCTTTGGCATTCAGAGGAGCTAGGCGTGTCTCCTTGTTAATCTTACTCATCCTCTCCCCAACCTGCTCATCCTTCTGTGGGCAAAGTTGGTTATTGGCAATGATGGGAGGACTGGAGAGAGTGTGGTGGAAACAGAGCAGGAGTGGGGTGTGTGAGAAGGTCCAGGGGCACCAGCAGCTTGTTGTGAATTTACCTACTTGGAAAATACTGTACTTAGTGCTATAGTATTAGCCATCACCTAATCATGTGTTTAATCAAGCATTTTATAATCTTGTTGAGAATTCTTTCTAAGGATTAAGTATTATACTCTCTCCCCATTTTCCAAATTGCATTTGGAATAATCCATCTGGAATAATGTAGGTCAGATTGCCTTTGAGGACCACATCAAAAATACAAACCAGTAATTTATTGATAGACAAAATTAGGCTTACACCTTGGGCCAATTAGCACTAATCCATGAAACTTGGAAGCAAATTTGACCTGCGCCTCCATTAAGCCAAACTGGCTTTCCATTGTTTGAGGTATTACTTGGCACTTTTCTGCTTGCTCGTGGGCACGAAGGATGTGGCTGTCGACCACAGAACTAAGAAAACAAGCCCAGGCTTTAGTTCTTGGCTTCTACAGATGGAGCTGTCAGA